TGAGCTTGGGCCAAGGGTGACTAGGACTCAGTTCATGCTCCGGGGGTTCTTAGACTTGGAATGGGACGGACAGAAATACACAAAACTGGCTGGGCTACCGCCCAGCACTCTATGTACCTGTGAGAGGGTTATTATCCTTTGTCCTTCCTCCTATCAAGTGGTGGGACCTCTGGGCCCTCCCCTTGAGTCTGGGTGTGCAGCAGAGTCCGGTGGGATTGTGTGGCTCCGAGTCCGCATCTCACAGGCCAGGCAGGTTCCGCCTGGCTCTCCCGGCAAGCTTGCTCACCCTCTCAGGACCCGGCCGCTGCACCGGAGAGCCAGAGCCTCTCAGAAAGGCCCCACGGAGTTGCTTCAGTGACAGTCCCACCAGAGCTCAGACGTCAAGTCACGCCAGCCCCAATGCCAGACTGGAGTGAAGGAAACTCCAGATGATTCCAGGATCCTGCAGAGGCCCCAGCTGTCACAGAACAGAGACAGGCCATCCTACCCGCCCCTGTCCAGATTCCTGATCCATAGCATCAGGGGCAACACAAAATAATTGTTTTGTGCCACTTACACAAACTTAATTGAAGTGCTTTATGTACAATAAACAGACAACAACCAAAACAGTACACAATGATGAGAAAGCCCTTTGGGCGAGGAATTCAATACATTGGCACTGGAAAGCTCCCCCTGCCCCCCCCCCTTCTTCTGTAAAGGTTTTTATTATGCACAGACCTGGAGGAGGGGCTGAGTCCTTCTTGGCAGCCTTGGAAGCCTTCCTATGGTGGCTGGGACATTACTCGGCTCCTCGCACTTCTTCCTGGTGTGGATGTGAGTCTGGCCCTCTTCTTGATGAACTTGAGGGCCCATTTGTCCTTGGAGACCTTGAGCAGCTCCTTGGTGCATTCATTGCTCATAGAGGGCAAAGCTGCATACCCACTGAATCATGTCCTGCATGAACTTGGCGTGCTTGGTGAGGTGCTGTGGGCGGTCGTGGTGTGTCAGCTTACTCACATTCTTGGCTGTCCTGTGGCCCCTGTGAAGACCCATGGCCATGGGGTAGCGCAGAGCCATGGCAGCTTCTCTTCAATGGCTGCTGTGGCAGAAGGGCCCTACTTAGGTTTTGAGAACAGGAGTCTTTTCCATAGGCTGGCGCTGCCCTCCAATCACTGCCCACCACCCTCTCCCCCCTCAGCGTCATGTTAATGCTGGAGGGTCTTTTTTTTTTTTTTT